TAGCAACAGTATATCGAGATGGGATCTTGAACTTGGGTTGCATGACATTACAAAACCTCTTAAAACCAACCCCATCCACAAATCTAAAGGGCAATTCATCAATTACTATCATCTCGGCAAGATGCCTCCTAGCAACTTCTATGGAAAATGGCATAACCACAACATCAACAACACCCTCACCATCACTGCCAACTTCTCTAGGTTGAAATCCCAATGTTTGTTGCCCATGAGTGTCCCTATATGGATATTTTGTACAATTTTTCAAATGACTTAACAAATTACTTGTTCTGTGACTCTTAGAGCCTGTCATATATTCTTTCTTTCAATACTTGCACATAGCCCTATCTTTCCCATCAATACCCTTAATCTTTTCAAAATGATCCCAAGCCTTTGATGTTGTTCTCCCACTACTACTAGTTTTGGCCAAGGGTGGTATACGAGGGGGAGCATTAGATTGGGTAGAAGGGTCAATAGAAGATGATTCGGGCTCAACATTAGGACTCACAAAAAAGGTTTCTTCACTTGGAGGATCCATGACCGAAAGATTATCAAATAAACTGCCAACAACCAATAAAAAATCATTCAAAATATGCTTTTCAAATCCATGCTCTTTTTGAAAAACAACCATCAGACTCTTTGTCTATGTTTGAACATGTAAAATGGCATATGAAGATAAAAGAAGGATATTAAATGGACAGAGTTTAATGTTCACTGACTAATGAGATTAGTTTAAACTAAGTAAGATGAATCAGTAAGTTTAAACTAACTAATGTTCACTGACTAATGTTCACTAAGTAAGATTAGTTCACTGACTAATGTTCACTGACTAACGAGATTAGTTTAAATGTTCACTAATTTATTATGAATCAAATTTTACAGAACAGAACAGAACTAAGTTTAATGTTCACTAATATATTATGAATCAAAGTTTAATCTTTAAACAAATTTAGTTCACTAACTAAATTATAGAACAGAACTAATATATTATCATAATTTGATTCATAATAATAATATATTAAAGTTTAATATTTAAGCAAACTAAGTAATATATTATCATAATTTGATTCATAATAACAAATTTAGTTCACTGACTAAATTACAAATTTAGTTCACTGACTAATATATTATCATAACTTGTTATCTGATAATAACAAAACAGATTGTTCAAAAACAGAACAGATTAATTCCAGATTGTGAACAGATTAAAACAGATTCTGAATCAAAAAAGATTCTATGAAGTCCCTCACAAAATCCACTGCAGAAGCAAATAACAAAAAAAATAAACCAAATCTCTATGTGGTTTTCTCTCTGTATTCCTTTCTCTGTGTATAGAACCCTTAATAGTTAACATTGTGTCAATCAATCTAACCACGTCTCTAGTTTTAGAACTGGAACAAAACAAAATAATAATAATAGATTAGACTCTAAAAGATTAGAAGTTTTAGAACTGGAACCAAAAAAAAAAAAAAAAACCTAGTTAAGAAGACGAAGAAGAGAAGAAGAATGAAAGAGAGAGAGGTACCTCGGTTACAGTCAGTGTAGTAGACTGTAGATCAATTAATCTAACCATCTATTTCGTCTTAAAAAAAAAACAGATTAGACTCAGATCAGAAGAAGAGAAGAAAAGAGAAGAAGAGGAAAGCAGAAGAAGATGAGAAGAAGAGGAAAACAAAAGAAGATGAGAAGAAGAGAGAGAGAGATACCTCAGTCAGTAGTATAGATCGATCGCCGACGCCGTGTAGATCGTTCGATGATGGGTAGGGTAGAGAGAGAGAGAGAGAGAGAGAAAATGAGAATGTCTGTCTGTCGAAAATTAGGGCAAAATGAGCTATGCGTATCAGAAAGGAAAATGAGGGAAAATGAGGCATATCAACCAAAAATAAATAAACAAATAACCAATTGTGGTCGGGTCGGGTTTGCTAACTAAAATGACGGATCACTCGCCACCTGACCCGAACCCGAAAAATGTCATAAACTAGGCCCGCACCCGCCCACCACGTGGCACACATCCATCCGTTACTGGTCGGGTTGGGTTGGTTGGGTGTGGCGAGTCAATGGATCCGCTGCACAACCCTAGTATAGGAACAGTTGGGGCTTTTGGGGGACAACTGGCAATAAATATCTGCGAATAAATATCTGCGTTTTACACAACTGGCCAGCAAGCCACTAATGGTGGTCGGCAATAGTAGGTTGTCGGCCATAAAACTGCTTTTAGGCCAAACTTCAAACGAGCATATCTCCTTCATCCAGACTCGGTTTCAGGTGATTCTTGAGTCTAAATTAAAGTCCCGAAAGTCTACTTTTCAATAGTGGCAGCCTCACGCCTAAATTCTAAGTGTACAAAGATATATGCCTATCTTAGTGAAGACTACTCATTTCTGTCCTAATGGATTGATGCCCAACTTCTTTCCCAACTAGTTTTCTTCCATCCTCTCATATTTTCTTTAACTCCAAACCTATAAATAAGATGTTTTAAAGATTTTTCAAAGAGTTCACCTCCCTTCCATTTATTTCCACTTTGTCCTTGCTCGGTTTACCAAAAAGTGCAATATTTTAAACGAAATGCGAACCTTGGAACATCATAGAAACATTTGGAAAAATATTTTGCAAGAGAAGGTTTGAAGGTCTAAAATAGTTTTGGTTCAAAAATGGGGTGTAAGGTTGGGATTTAGAAGCTCTTCTTGTTAAAGAAATTGAACGTTTATACAGTGAAACTTTCATCATCAAGTTATCAACCTGAGGTGCCCAAGTCTTAAGGGCAGTAAAAAATGGGGTGTCTACAATACCTGATCCAATATATTTCACAAATAGGTTTAACATACCTTCCAGAGTAGTTTTTGTTGTTAATTATTATTATTATTATTATTTTTTGTCACTTTCTCTCAGATTATCATACCAACTTACTACTATAACCGTAAAAGCTATGTTCAATATAATTTAAAAAACTTTGCATACGCCATGTGCTGCTGTAGATATTTAAGACATGGTGCATGCCACTCTTCCATTATTTTATTATCTCACTTGTATTTGTAGCACAATCAATATCTAATAAATATCCTGTATTGCTTATTAGTTTTAGTGGTACCTCCCTTAAAAATACTTCATTTCTAGGGATAAAATCTGCATAATTGGATGTTCCTCTAGCAAAAGATCCGCTATTTAGTCATGTTCTTCTTCTATAGTCATAGTTTCTAGTGTCATCTTTCAGTTATTGCCTGGTAAAGTTTCTAAAGTCAGGATGATTTGGATTAGATAAGGCAAACGAACTATTTCCTTCTTATTTTACCATTGTTATATCAATATCATTAACGTTATTAGTATCTTCTAACCCTTCTCGGGCGTTGTCATCTTTTTCTTTTTCTATGTCTTTGAGGTTTTCTAGAACATTATTTTCTTTTTCTTTTTCTGCATCATCATTTCCCATTATTTGTTCTAAATCTTCAAGGAGAATATGTTCCATTTCTCTTAAGCTAATTAATCCTAATTATTTATAGATATCTTCTTCTATTTCTAATCTCTTATTATTTATTTCTTCTATTATTTATGCATCTACTATATCTAATTGTTCAACTATTTCTAATATTATTTTGTATTTTATTTTATTATCATTTTTTTTCAGCTATTTCCTCTAACTGTTTTAGACTATAGTTACTTAGCTCCATTATCTTTTTGGTTACAGGTGAAACTAATTCGAAGGGTTCCTCCAGATTATTTCTTTTATACGGATATGATATAGATCTAATTCTTTTTGTTTTTCTTAAAAAATGACTACTTATTTTTCTGGATTTTGTATGAAATGCCTGATTTTATTTATTATTTCTAATTTATTAGTTCTAAGTTTCTCATCAATTTCTTTTAATAGCTTAATTAAGGTATTATTTTGTTCTATTATTATTTGTAAAGAAGTATTATTATTTAAGTTATCAGATTCTACTTCTTCACTATATTTAAACTCATACAAAAGTTATTGGCAAGGTCGAGAAATAGGACTCTGATACCAATTTCAATTGCGGATTTGCAGCGGATCTAATTTAATATTAACTCTTATAAAAGTCTTCGTCGATGATCTACACTTGCCTTTTCTAATGATATTTTAGTACTAACAATTCTTTGGTTATAATTTATTATAGACTGTCCCAAAGTAATAGTCAATTTTTTTTTTTAATTTATTTAAGAAAAAATTAGCGAAACATCCATTTTCAACTTTGTGTAATAGGAGAGGTCCAATATTTTTTTTTATTAGCTAAGGTCCCTTAACATTTTCATAAAAAAAAAAAATTGACTTAGTGAAATTTCAGCCCTGACTCAGAGAAATTTCAATATTCATTTCTCTGTGAAAATTGAAATTTCTCTGAGTAAAGGTCAAAATTTCTCTAAGTCGGACAAAGTTTTTTTGAGTCGAATTTTCTTTGTGAAAATATTGAGAGACTTTAACTATTATGAAAATATTGTATGTGTTTTATCTTATAAAATTTTAATATCAGTGACCTTAAAAAAAATCTCCTTTATTTAGGGGTTATTTGGGAAGTGCTATATTAATATATTTTTTGACTTTTTACGAAAAAAACATAAAGTGATGTTTTGGAAAGTTGGTAAAAAGTTAACTTTTTGACTTTTTTAGTGACTTTGTTGGCAAAAAACTGTGTTGTTTTGGGTAAAAAAGATAAAAAGTCAAAAAATTGGTTTTTTTTGGCAACTTCTCAAAAGACTCTAAAATATAGATTGAGTTTGAAGTAATATGATAAAAGTGATATAATCCAAATAAAATGATTGTGACAAAAAAAAATAATATGTTAGAATTGCATGTAATATTTTAGCATATGCTATTTAGAAATATTACCTAAATTATCTTTTATTGCAAATGCGGTAATAAAAAGTTGCATGTAATATTTTAGCATATGCTATTTAGAAATATTACCTAAATTATCTTTTATTGCAAATGCGGTAATAAAAAGTATATAAATAATAACTATCTTTTATTTCAAATGCGGTAATTAAACGTATATAAATACTACTATATGAAAATATAAACAGGCGTTGCAATTGCCGATTGATTACGAATACACTTCGGTTGCTGAACGATTACTCTCTCTCTCTCTCTCTCCTCTCCACAGGTCTCTCTCTCTCTAAGCTGTATATATGTATGTATAGGTTATATGCGATCTATTTACATAAATATAGTTATTGTTTGTGTATGATGTAGAATTAGGGTTCAAAGTGTGAAGCAGCAAAAATGAGTGGTGAAGAAGAATCCATAGAGGAAGCAGCCGCAGCACGTCGTGAGAGGCTGAGAGCTCTGAAAGCTGCTCAGGAACTCCTTAACACCCCAGACGATGACGACGACTCCTCTCTTCACACTAATCATGATGAAAAGTGAGCTTTTTTCTTTCTATTGCTTATTTCCTTACAATTATTTGTTTAAAAAAAAAAAAAACCAAGAAACAAATTACTTTTCCTTGATAATGGTTCTGTCTATTTCATGATTTTGATTTTCTTAACCTTGGATCAGTCCTTGTGTCTCAGTACTGCAGAATTTAAATTTATATTTGGTCTGTGTGAAAACGAAGATGGGAATGTGAATATACATATATACTAGAAGTGATGATACGTGATGCGTGCGTTATATGATCATTTTGTTTTAGAAAAATAAGATTGTAAACTATGTGATTGAATTCGAAAATTGAAAATTGAAATGAATTTGGAAAAATCATTGAGGGGGAAAAAAGAAAAATAAAACTTGAATTTAGGGCAGAACTATCCACCCTAATTGCTATAGGGGTACTTGGGGGGGAAAAAATGACACATAAACAGCAAGTTGGGGTAATTCTATTTCCACACACCAATTCCTCTCAATTTACACACTTAATGAATTTTTTTACAACGCTGCTACACACCCCCACTGGGGGTCGACCCCCAGTGACGTGGCGGGCCTCCATTGGCCAGTTTTCTGTTTTTTTTTTCTTTTTTTTCTCTTTTCTTCCAATCCTGCAGTGCCACGTGGCACTGGGGGTCAGTGGGGGTGGGGTTTACTGGGGTCCGGCGCATTTTTGATTTTTTTACTACAATTTTATCTTAAAATAAAAATATTTATAATATCTTATTTTTTTCCACCCAAACCCTAATTTTAAAACACCACAACCATACTCCATCACCATCGCCACCTCTCTCATTTGTCATCCCCTCCTGTCGCCTCTTTCTCCTTTTGCTTGCGACCACATTTCTCCATGAACCATACACTCTCACATGCCTCCCACCATGAACCACCCACTTTTGAGGTTAACAGTGGAGGTCTAGGATGGAAGAGAGTTGGGAATGGCGGCGGTGGTGGCGATGAAGGGTTGAGAGTGGCGGCAATGGCGGCAAATAAGGGGTGGATGAATGAAAGAAAAATTAGGATTTTGAAATTGAAGATGAGGATGTTATTGGAATAAAGAGATGTATACTGGAAATTTTTGTTTTTTTAATATGTGTACTGAGAAGGTATCCATTAAGTGTGTGCACTGAGAGCTATGAAGCATGGGTACTTCGAAAAACATGCCGTACCCTTACCGGCGTACCATACCTCGTATGGTATTTCTGCATACGTACCGGATACACGAAATATGTACCCAAGTTTTTTTTCTTAATTTTTGACGTACCCAGACGTACCTAGTATTTATCTAAGCCAAGCCGTGCCGTACCGTACCGTACCGTATCTCAGTTGAAATAATATTTTCCTTCTACTATAGAGATAAAACTCATTTCACTAGATTTCTTTTTTAATTTTTGTTTTATGCTTATCATGATTTTAAAATTAAACTATGGTTTATAAGTTATTTAATATATTGATATTTAATTTTGATTTATACTTTTCCTTTTGGCATTAAATGTTAATTATAGGTTGGACCTTAACAAATTAAATCTTTTAATTAATTTTTGCATTACTCTAAATTAAAAATAAATATTTTTTTACAAGCCGTACCTGTACCCGTACCCTTACCCTATTTTTTTTGAATTTTACCGTATCGACATACCCGTATCGTACCAGTACCAGTACTCGTACCCGTACCTATACTTCATAGACTGAGAGGAATTTGTGTGTGGAAATAAAATTACTCTCAAATTGGGCCTTCTCCTTATAATAGTATAGATAGATATTGATATAGATATAAAAGATAGATAGATATATATGTAGCGTAATGTATATGAGAAATCAAAACTGGACATAGGCCAGTTGAACTGGTCGTACCGGCGGCATAGCCACGTTAGGGTATTCATTTGAATACCCTTTCTTTTTTCCTTGTACATATATATAGGTAATATTTGTTTTAATCAATTCACTCCTTATAATTTGAATACCCAAATTCACATATTTTTTGAATATTTGTCTCACAAATTTTGAACACCTAACTCACCCACTCTAAACATTATACATCCACCTTACGATATCTTTATTTCTAAATGTAACACCCTAAACTTCATGTACCTAAAAAAGAGCTTTCATAAAATAATGTGTATGGTATATATTTAAAGTAGATGTGATATGGATCATACCCAAAATGAATTAAGTGCATACACTTATTTTCTTAATACTAAAAAGAAATATGCATACATAGAAAAACAAATAATAATACCTGAAATCTAGTATCAATCTATTAAAATTCTTCTTTGTTAGTAATTTAAGAAGTTTAAATTAAAATAAGTGAATTATAGATGTACATTTTTTTGGGGGGCATAAATTTTAATCAAAATTTTGAATATCCTAAATAATATATCTGGAGCCGCCATTGTCCCAGTTAAAAAGCCAACCCCTGTTTTCCCTTCTCTGCAATTGGGAAAATTTCCATCTTGACTGACTTCATGAGTTGGATAATTTGTGCAATCGGATGGGTTTGACATTGTATCAAATTAGTATGCATTAGAGTTACTGCTGTACGAAGATAGTTGTAGGTAATAAACTGTAAAGTTGTCGAGGTTCATTGATAATGTAACATGCTTCCATGATTTAGGATGGAGGGTTAAGCTTTTCTGTCAACACCAAAAGTAAAGATGTTGTTGGCTAAATGTCTTTGGTTTACATCAATCCTTCTGGCCAACTGTAAACTGTGGTTTCCATCAAGTGCACATCATGGGCTTAAAACCAGTTTATGAGAAAATAAAGTTGATTCAATTTTTATTGAGTTTTCTCATTTTTTAAAAATAATCGTGTGCTTACTAAGGATTTGTTTGATGACCCATGAAATGCTTAAATCTGAATATTTGTGATGCAGTTTCTATTCATTGCATTTGATCTTGGAGTAAGGCACTTCTTAAAAATGAAAATCCACTTAGAATAGTAGTCTTATTTTTTCGTTTTTATGTCAAAGAGACTTTTATTACTGATTTTTTTTCAGTAGTTCTATTTAGGAACTAATATTTTTAGTACTTAATTTTCAGTTTTAAGATACCCCCACTTAGAAAATATGAGGAAGAAGAACTCCGAAAATATGAGGAAGAAGGAACCACTATCATATTATATACATTAACACAAATTTCCAGCACTCCCTTTCTTTTTCAGTTTTCTTCCATGTTCACTTCCATTCTAGAGATCTGAGCATAGCCAGTGCCTAAATGGATTCATATGTTTAGCTGGAAATACAAACCCTCGCCATCGGATTTCTCGTATTCATCACCTTTTGTGTTACCCTGAATTGTCGCGAATTCTGTTCTTAATTTGCAATTACAAGTTCCAACACCACCATCTTGTCTACCTTTTGCTTTATAGGAATTCTGATCTTGCTTCTGCCTCAATCTCACGTTTTACTGCCTCCCTGAAGCTCTCTAATGGGGGTAGACTGAGTTGCTGTCTAATGGAAATTGATGAAATACTTTTCATATAGCCATGTCCTGTGCAAGGAAGGGCCCTGCTCCCCTTTGACACATCACATTCACTTTTTGGCTGCATCTTGATGTATACATTGAGAAAGAATTGCATAATTTAGATTTTGTAGTTAACATTGACCCAGTTATTTGATATGCCTAACAGTCTTGGCGATGCTCAATAAACTAGTGCAGTTTTTTTTTTTTTAAATAACTATACAGGTTTATTGTGCAGTATGCATGTGTATTTGCCTGCATATATTCAGTATGGTTGCTTTAGAAATTCAAAATGCTTACCATAAGATGAATTGTCAATTCTTTGCAGCAATCTGAATATGAAATTTCGAAATTACCTTCCTCATGATAAGCAACTTCAGGAGGGTAAGCTCGCCCCACCAGTGCTACCAAAGTTTGAAGACCCTGTTGCAACACTACCTGTGCCAGAGGAGAAGAAAGAGGTTAGCAATTACCTTCACTATAAATTTCTGTGTTTTCTAGTCCTATATCTTCTTCCATTGTTATCTGTTCTAAGTTAAGACGGATGTTCAGGATCCATTTGTAAACATTGCTCCAAAAAAACCAAACTGGGATCTTCGAAGGGATGTACAAAAGAAGCTTGATAAGCTTGAAAGACGCACACAGAAGGCAATATTTCAACTAATGGGTATGTTATTATCATTGGTTAATAATTTGTTTTTATCTGATAGCCAAAAACTGATGATCTGGTGCTCAATTTTTTGTAGTTCTTGTTGCATATGGTAGTGAATTTGTTTGCAATGCTCCACTTTTATAAAATTTAATGTCTGTAGAGAAATTGAAACGCATGGTTTGTAGGTACATTGTTCTTTCTTTTTTTTAATATATATTTATTTTGAACAAAACAGTGTCGACTCTTGAGGGAAATATTAGACCTAATATTCTTTCTCTCTGTACAAGCATTGTTCTTTCAGTCCCTCTTGTTTTTTATTTAGGTCAAATCGTTATGTCAAAATGAAGGCTGTGTTGACTTGGTATTTGTTTATCCGATAGGGATTAAGTAACATTAGGGAGACAAATCACTATCTATTTGTTTATCCGATAGGGATTAAGTAACATTAGGGAGACAAATCACTATCTTAAAAGCAATTGGAGTTCTCCCTGGTTTTAATTGAACTTGGGGATCTTTAGTGTTTAATTATTTTGCTAGAACAGTAATGTAGGGCTGCACTGTGAAACTAAAAATAATGCTGCCAATTGGTTTTAATTATAGTAATGATCAAATGATACGTTTATAATAAGGTAAAAGAAAGATTAGACACTTGGTAAGGCTGCAAATTAGTCGACTAGAGCTGGGATGTAAGGTCTGTCGGCTTGGTTAGTCCACTGGAAGGGTGTGATATATTTTTTTTGTGTTTGCCATTTGCCTAGTTGCACTTGATCAAACACAGCTGATAATACTTTGAGCTTGTGAGACCAGCTTGACTCCATTTAATTTTGTTAATGGATTTTGAGCCAAGAATCACAGACATGGATGCAATGATTTCCAAAAAATATAGACTCGGTCACAGTAGGGATACATCAAAAATATGTTATTTATATCTTTGTATTTGCTATATATATAAATATTACCCCGCCAAACAACCAAAAATAATGAAAAACTAACTAATTCAATATGAAAAAATACTCAAATATATAATTTGAAGTGTTCGTGCTTCATAGATAATTTGAGGTGTTTGTGCTTCATAGATAATTTGAGTCATGTGGTGTGTCTGCCATGTGTCTTGGTGTTGGACACAACTACAACTAATTTGAAGTGTTTGTGCTTCATAGGTTGAGTAAAATGTGTTGCATTCTATTGGATGGGAGAAAAACCTATCTACCGCTGTGTGCTGTATGGCCACATTTTACATTTCATATCATATTATGTTTCTGTGTATGCAATGGTCAAATTTGAAATCTAAAGTTAATAAATAGGTCTAACTTTGAGGGAATTACAAAACAACCATTCTAGGCTCATGTTTACGAGCACAAACAAGCTAAGCGTGGGCCTTTTTAGGTTAGGCTTGTTTATCAAATGAGCTTTAAAAAAAGCTGGGGTTTGGTTCATTTTAAGCCAGAGTTGTTCGTGAACAACTCAATTTCTTTGCAGTCCTAGGCTGTTAGCATTTAAAAGGGTTGGAGTGGGGTTGGTTTTTTAAAAATAATTATTGGTTGTTAAGAAAACTAGTTGCTGGAAATCATGAACAACAATCATCAGCTGACTTAGAGGAGTATAATAAATTTGACTCTGAGAACTTAGTATTTAATACAATGGATTTGACCAACTGCATGATAACCCAAAAATTGCAGAATATGAGATTGAAATTGAACCAAAACTCGATGAAATTAGGTCCAAGTGGGCTTCATGTGAAATTCTCAATATGCCTTGTGTCAATTTGTAGGGTAGATAGAGAAGTGGGGCAAGGGAAACTGCTCTTTATCCTTCCGTTGAAATGATTTGTTGGATGGTTTAATGTTATCATTGATATTTGGGTGACCATCCTAATGTTTATTATGTGGATCAGATACGGAACCTGATAATTGTTAGTTGAAAACTTCTGTATAAGACAAGATTTCTTATAAGCAAGGTTTATTATGTCATATATGGCTGTTACATCAAATTATGGATTCATAAGAAGAATATCTCTAGGGCCTTCACTCCCCTATCCCTGCTCCTGCTCCTGCTCCAGCTCTTTCTTCTGCTTCATGCAACTATGGGGCAGACCTTTCCTGATCATCCCAAAGAGGATAGCCCCTTCCCTAACTCGTGCCAGGGTGGGACGGGGTCACTTAATGGGCAAGGCGGGTTTCCCATCATATGTCAGTTTTTGTTTCAAAATTTCAAACTGTATTGATTTTGTGGCCAAATTCTTGGCATGTTTCAAAATAACAACCCTACCGTGTTCTGGTCTGAACACAACAGTTCTACAGGATGCCGCACAACAAAATTATAGGAAACTATGTGTTCTAATAGAAATAAAGGAAATGAGATTTGCTTTTATGGGCTGAACCACTAAAGGGTTCCTTAGCTTTTGTAAATAATTTGACGTGGGGCTGAAACAGAATTGTACAAGTTTTATCCACGCAAATAATATATGTAAACCATTTTTTATCATTTTACAAGAATGGGTCTTATTATGAGCAATCTGTGGTATTCTCTAAAAGGAAAAATCATTTTGGTGTTTCCCTTTTTTATTGAATTCTTTCCAACAAAAAACCAACAACTTTATGTAAAAGTCCTGATAATCTCTCTGTTGTTTGGGGCTAAATTGTTTATTTAAATAATTTGAATTTCAAAGTGTCCTTTCATTTAGATTTGAAAGAAGTGGGCAACTAAATGTAAGGGAAGAGAGATGTGTGGAGAGATAATTAATGAGACAGAGAAGGGAACTGTTATTTAAATAGTGACATAAGTACATCTAGCTGTAACTCTTCCTCCACAAACTTTACAGAAACAGAAACTGGAAAAAGAGCTAAAATGGATAAAGAACACAAAAACCAAAAAGTTTGAAACCATTCTTCCTCCTTACAATGTATCTTTATTTTATTTTCATCAAACACTAGTCTGAAATCTTGGCCTAATAACCTTGAGGTTATGGGTTTAAGTCTCGGAGAAACCACTTTGTGCACTATGCCAAAGGTTAGGTGTGTACCAAATCTTTTCCCTCCCGAGCACACATTAGTGTGCACTAATTGGGCATTGTTTTTTACTAGTTTGAAATCTTAATATGTCGATATACTTGATAAGTCTGGTTATATACTTCATATCTCCTCACATTTTCTGAAGTTCCATTGGTTACTTTAAAAAAAAGAAAAGAAATATCAATCATTTGTGCATATTTCATTATATAAGATATCTTAACTGGGGGCCACTAATCCAGTGGTTAAAATTTGACTTACTAACCTTGAGGGAGTTTGAGTTTGAGGCAGCCACTATGTGCAAATTATGCCAAAGGTTTCGTGTACTCAATCTACTCCTCCCAGACCCCATTCAATGGGGGCAAACTGGGCATACATTAAATATCTCAACATTGAGATTGATTTCCAAATATTCGTTGGCACATATTTGTGTTTCAATTGAGTTTTGACAATCATGTTGACATCAGCGCAAGTCTATCCTGGGTAAGATTTTCTTGGTTTCCTGAGCCTATTGTTTTTGGTTAGACTGCCAATCAACAAACTTGCATATGCTTTCCAAAATTGATTCAATGACCCAATGTTCCTTTTGACTATTTCATAGACAGTCCTATGCGAATTAGAACAGCACATTGATCTTGAAGTTTTCAATATAAATTGGTGCAGCTAATATAATCTGATTGTTTCGTATCCACTATTGATACAATTAAACATGTTTAAGATTATATGCTTGTGTCATCATGTCTTTTATGTCATGTTCTTCCACAGCCATGTCTTATGGTCCCACAAATGACACTGTATAACACAATTGCTTTGTATTTTTATTTTTTATTTTACAGAGGAACAAGAAAAGGAGAAGCAATTGGCTGAAGAAGATGAGCAATTGGCTGAAGAAGATGACAGAAATAGTGATTAGAATGAGAACTCATGTAACCAAGGATAAGTTGAATGTGAAACTTAACGAGTATGGAAGAACAGAATTGATCATCAACCAGTGATTTTGAATTGCTGTTGGTCAAAAAAACTGAATGGCTAAATATGATGACACTGGCTTTAGTTAACTTCAAATTGCTGTCAGTCAAACAATCAAAATGGTTGAATATGATTACAAGATAGCTTCCTTTCCTGGCAAAAAAACTATTGATGTGTGTGGTTTGTTGCTTGGGTCTCTGTTTACTATGTTACAGTTTTTCATGTACACTCATTTGGTCAGATTCTCAATATTGACAGGGGACGAAATGTAAGTTAGGACAACAGTAAGCCTCATTTGGGAATTGATTATTTTAGTTATTTTTTTTATTTTTATGAAAAAATGTGCAAAAAATAAAGAGATAGCTTTTTGGTTAAAAACTCGACTTTCCAAACGGGGCCAAGTTTGGGTCCCAAACTTGCAATTCCATGTTTGTGTTAAAAATGAATTGTCTGATGAGATTGAAAGTATATATTAGGGGGTTCATGTTGAGAATGAATTTGAATCACATGTTAATGTTATTGTTAATTTTTAGGTAAAATTTATGAGTTTGTAGTATTACTGATATCAAACGAATGGACAATTGAACTCGGCTTTCAAATGAACACACACAAACACATTATTTGAGAGTTGATTTTAAGGAAAAATTATTCCTCCTTTTTCTTAGAGTATCAAGTGTTTTCCCCAGAGATGGAGAGATCTTGAAATTCCTTCATCACAATGGGGCTAATACCATTTTACAGAAGCTAGGCCCATACAGTTAAGAAAAATTTATAACTACCTCAAGAGAACGTTACATCATAAAGTAATCAACCCAAATATAGCACAAAAATTGACATCCAAGTAGGAAAAAGAAAGAAAATTAGAAATAGGTTTGGCATAAAAACAAACAGTTCATGTGCAACATTGAGCTGAAAATGTAAAGAGCATAGTGAAACAAATTTTCTAATATTCAAATGGCACCGCCATATTTGGGTGACAAATGAACTTATATAACGAGATCAATGCTAATTTTCATCATATCACACGACAACATATAACAGGAGGAGGGTTTGTGGGCAAGGAAGCACAAGAAAAGATGAAGAGTTTCAGCCACGAGTAATACCACAAATTCGAACTTAATTATTCAAAAATTATCTATAATTATCTTCTTATAATTCAGATTTATTCTACACGTGAATCTTACAATATATAAATTTAATCTCAACCACACAACCACTCACTAAAACAATTCTAAATGGGTAAGTTTGGGATCCCAAACTTTTCCTTCAACCAATGTGTCAAAGTACTTAGATCTCAATTTTATCAACTGGCTCAGTTGGTAAAAGCTGTGCTGGTACATGACAATTCAATGTACGAGACTTCTATTAATTACCAGTAACTTGGCATTGAAGGCACCAAGTGTACCAAAGCATCCCACTTTACCCTAATTAGTTTCCATATGTAGATTATAAGGTTTCAGGACATTGGATTTTATACTAATCAATTTTCAAATTAAATGATCATTTATTGCCTATCACTGATCAATAACAGACTTTGACAATACATGTGTCATTGTTAATAACTTATACTAAGATCATCATTCGCTCATACCATAATTACCCACTTTTTAGCCAACACAGATAGAAAAATATAACCCATTGTCCCATAGTGTAATTTTAAACCTCTTTGTGCATGCACACGTGTGTGTGTGTGTGTGTGAGAGAGAGAGAGAGAGAGAGAGAGAGAGTGAGTGTGTGTGTGTGTGGAAGCACATATATACTGCACTGGTATGCAAAATTGAATAAGCAATCTCATCAAAGATAACTCACATACAACTATAATTTCCTTGACAAATCACTCTTGGACATAAAGCCAAACTAGTTGAAAGTGGAAGGCACCATTTGTTTTTTTTTTTTTTTTTTTTTGCCTCTTCATATCATTGGAAAATGAAAACAAAAGAACAAACACAAAATGCAACTTTAGAAAGAAAATAATTAATAAAAAAATCTAAAATAAAAAAATAAAAAAAAAAGACTGATCCTGGGCATGTTTTGAGGATCTAACTATGCCCACAGGGCCATTATGGACATGCCTCCAGCTCCTAATATAACAGCAACAAAAGCCCACCCCTGAAGCTTCATGCTTCCCTGCAGCTTCGTTCCCATGAAATCGGATGCTAGTAGATCCACCAACGCCATATAGTTCAGCAGCCCTGCTGATGCTGCATCTAGTATTCCCACCACAATCAGCGCTGTCGGACTGTTATCACTGTACACGTTCGACAAGCCAATCCCGAGCGCAATCCCAAATGGAGTGGTGGCTGAGAAAAAGAACGCCATTATTGCCTTGACTTTGGCCCCATATTCAGCCTAAAACAATTAAACCATATTATTAGAAAATGTTAAATATGAATCAGAAATGCATATGAATCAATGAATGTTTTGGTGAATTGTGTTTTGAGGACGAGAGATTGATAATTACTTGTAGTATACATCCCCCAAGACCCATTCCTTCAAAGAGTTGATGGAAGCAAAGAGCAGCGACCAGCGGTCTGATGGTGCAGGGATTGTTAGATGCCCCCAACGACAGCCCAATCACCACTGAGTGCACCACAATTCCTAGTTCTAGTACCTGCACATGTAATGTAGTTTTGGTTATTAGTTTTGTTAGGAATACTGAAACTGATCACAAAATATACATCACAAAAGTGTTACTATTCAAAAACATTAGATGCATTAGCAAATTAAATGTAATTTGTACCGTAACCACAACCCAATACAATAATATATTTGTATTTGATTCTGTAATCGGTTTTTGTGTTCTTAAAATTATTCCTTCTTAGTCATGTGAATGCTAAATCAGTTGTGTTATACGTCAAGAAATATCAAAATTGCATGTAAGATAGCAAAGAGTAACCATTTACATGCAATAAATTCTGAACTATGGATCAAAACCAACTATATGCAAATAAAAATAGTAATGCTACGGGCAAGGGACAAAAAAAAAAAAAAAAAAGTTTGGTACCTGAGCTACAACCCGATACCGAACCAACTGTGATGCACTGCCATCACCCCCTTCCACAACAACATTTCCATGACCATGCCCAACATTTTCCAACTCCACCACAAGTCCATCACTCTCTCTCTTCTTCATAGACTCTTCGATGGCCACCTTCGAACACCGCTTCTTATAATAACTCAAAGAGAACGAGTCCACCATGAGAGTCATCACCGCCGAGAGCATTGCCACGAACGTCGTAAAAGGAAACTTCTTCCAAGGGTTCTCCGGCAAGCACTCCGACGTCAAGCAGTCAAACGAGTCGGGCATCACGTGCATGTACCCCGTGGCGAGTATGACTCCCGAGGCGAATGCCTTCACAATCACAAACGCATTGCGGTCCGGCTGGAGGGCCGGGACGGCGCGTGAGAAGATCGGTAGGCATACGCCGATCATGCTCGTTATCAGGATTGCACCTATGGCTATTAGTTTGAGTTTTAGGGACTTGGCTTTGTCGTAGCAGCCAATGACTGATTTGAAGGAACATTCCGGTGGCGGAGCGTTGGTGGGAGCGGCGGCAGAGACGGCGGAGACGGCGGAGATGAGGAGGAGTAGGAGGAGAGAGAGTGTGGTGAGTTTTAGAGATTTGTTAGCCATGGTTGTTGTGATAGTGTGGCATTTGAACTTTAAATGGTGTGTCTTATGTGTTATATATGTGTGGGAAAAAATGGCTGAGTCAACTGTGGGGAGGTGAAATGACGGAAATAGGGTTGGTGGAATTGAGATTGAGTTGGTTTTATTGGTAGAAAGTGGTGTAAATTTGGGAAAAGGGAGGGTGTTTTGGAGGAGTGGACTAGGAAGGTGAAAGCTTGTGGAGGGCGTGTGGTGAGAGTGGACCATACTCATTTTGGCTCCCTAGTCTCATTGTCCAACTCACTTTTACTCAAGTTAAGAATGATCTGGCTTTTTCAAACGTGTTATTTTTAAATAATTTTTTTTTTTAATTTTTGGATTTAGCTTTTTGAAAAAATGAATTCCCCTTATTTGATTCTAAATTTTTGAAAATTAAATTTTTTATTTTCGTATTTTTTTATTTTAGTTAATTTTTTTAATATTTTATATAAATTTGTTTACTTTTAGATACTTAATATAAATATAATTAAAAAGCATAATGTTTGTGAAAAAAATCTATTTACTAAATGCCAAAAAAATATATATATTCAGTACATCCTTTGTAGTCTTGCGTATTTATTATTATTTTTAAATATTTTTTTTACTAATATTTTACCTTTTAGATATATTTAGATTAGGTGCATCTAAAAAGTTTTTTTAAAAAATTAAAATATTGAAAAAATTTAGTAAAAATAAAAATATATAAAAAATTAATTTTTAGAAAATAGAATTCAGAAAATTAGAACCAAACAAGCTTATTGGCTTTTCTAAAATTTAAATTTGAATTTGAGAAAATTTGGAGGCCTATGGGGTTTATCAATGGTCATGTTTTAATGATTGAAACCATTTTGTAGCGCACTCTATATATATCATTTATAATTAAAAAAATTAGTTAATTCGATAATCGTAATATTTTAATTTCATTTTATTTTTTATCAAAAAAAAAGGATGATTAATACGTTGTTGAAAATAGATTAGTCATTTTTTGGGAGATAAATATAATAAAATAAAATAAAAAGTTACGATTATTGAATCAATTTAATTTTTTCATATATTGAAAGTTGTACAAAATAAACGATTTATTAAAACAAGACTCATCATGTATCTCACGTGTTATTTGCGATAAGGACCTCAGAACTTTGTGGTGTAAGATCTTGAATTTAACTACTTTTTAGGTCTTGCGTTCTATATGTTAGCTATTTTGACACTTCGTGTAACAACATAATAACCTATAATATATACCATATTGTAGATAATCCATTTTTTACCGCACTTACGACTTGGACGTCACCGCTGCTACGTCCAATGATGAATGTGTATATGCTTGATAAGTGCTCAGGATCCTTAGCAGAATGCCATAGCTTTGAGCTTTTCAAACCTTAAACGCCTGTTGCCTTATTTTTGGACCAAAATTAGAATTTTTCAAGCTTACAACCCCTTGTAGCCTGCCGGCCCCTTTTTTTGGCTGCCGACCACTGCTTCTGGTTGTCGGCCATTGATGTGGCCTACTAACCACCAGTAGTGGCCTGCCGGCCACAAGTGCATTTTGCCGATATTTTTTCTGCCAGCTGTGCTAACTGTTAGCACAAATGCATGCATCTTCTTACACATGTATGTATTGATATTTCTGAGGGAGTTACATGGTTTTCTATATATATGAGGCCTCCCCTTCCATTTTCAGGGTTGGAATTTTTAGAGCAAAAATTTTTTCTCTCTCTCTCTCTCTCTTTCTCTCTCTTGCAATTTCTTAGCTTCTCATAAACTTTTGTCTATACACTCTTAACCAAACCTCTCTCTCTTTGAGCTGAGGTACCTTTGAGCCTTGTTTAAGCTCTTGAGAGTGTGTTTTCCTTGATTTGTTGCCTAGAATTGGTTCTCCTCTTCAAAAGGTATAAAACTTTGCTTCTCTTTTTGCCTCATTTACTCTTTTTCCTACTATTTTTCCTTTGTTTTGGAGCTGTATAAACTCTGTATTTTTGGACTGAAACTTGTGGTTTAAGGCTAATAAGGGTTGAAGAGTGGTTCACCCTTCTTTACACCTTGTTTTCAAGACCTTTACCCTTGTGTTTCCCATCTTTACACTATCTCTCTTTTTTTTTAGGCTTTTAAACACTGATTTTCAGAGTTATTTCAGTGGCTAAAATGTTATTTTGAAGTCCAAAATTGGAGGGGTTAACCTCTCCTCCTTGTGTCTTGCTTACTAGCCTAGCATGATCTATGTTTTCGCTTATTATTCTAGCTTTTGTTAGCTTATTCCAGCATGTTTTAGGACTTATTTAGCACAGTTTTAGGACTGTTTTTAGTTGTTTGTTGCATTTGAGTTTTGTATTGCGTGCTTGTAATGTGATTGTCTTCATAAGCTTGGTGGTCTAAGACTTAGCCACAGTCCTATTTGAGTTGATAGTATTTATTTATGGTTTTCTATACTTGTGATCACATTTAATTACCCTTGCAACCTCCCTTCTTTCTTGGCTTTTTATTTGCTTTGAAAGTTGGTTCAAACTAGTTGCTTGTTTAAAGCATGAGATTGAGGTTTTGTGCTTAATGGTTTAATCCCTTTTAAGGGTTCATTACCAACGGCATGACATATCTCTCATGCCTAAAGCAACACTTGGTTTGATGCTTCTTTCCATTAGAGGACTTAAAGCTCACCCTTGGGCTTAATGAACTAAAGAATGGAAAGGTAATTAAAATAGAGTAATAAAATTGAGGACTAAAAGTGATGCAAGATAATAATTTGGTTCGGGTTCAATCAAAAGTTGATTGAACCCTTGAGTCTTGAGTCGTTTCATACTCATAAGTGATGCAAACGGCTCAAGATTCATTGTCAACTACTTCCATTGATCATTCATGATTGGGAGGTAGTTTTGAGAGTCTTGTTTTGTTGCATTCATTAAAACTTGCACACTTTTGATTTAAAGGCCATCATGCAATGAAATTGCATTCATTGATGGTATGTGAACCAAGTTTACTACTCCTTTGAGCTGTTCAAATGATAGAGAGGGGTGAGTTGTGCAAACAACCCTTGAGAATACCATGTCCCTACTCTGTTTGCTCTTTGTTGCGACAGGAAAATCCAGTCATCAGTGGCCGGCAGGCCACCTGTGCAAAATCCAACAGTGTACTTTTGAAGTAGAACAGAATTGGTCTTGAGGTAAAAAACAGTACAAGTGTTCTCCTGTGCAACAGAAACATTTGGTAGCAGAAACAGAGGCTTTTTCGGATAGAAAGCCCGTTCATGCATGAGCATTCCTCATTTCCCGAAGAGTAATTAGAGTAGTTAATTTGGTTACTTCATGATTGTAATTAATTAGTTAGCAAAACTAGTTATTTAATTTTGTCTTGTAATAATTAGTTAGCTAGAATAGTTAATTAATTTGTAATAATAATTAGTTAAGTAGTTTAGCTAAATTATTCATTTGGGTTTGTAATAGTTAATTAATTAGCTTAAGCTTTAATTAGTTAGCTAGTTTATTCATTCGGACCCTCCTGTGTGAGGGCACGAATGTTGTAATAATGTGTATGTCTTCCAACCCCACGTCTCTCCCTTTTATTTAACTGCTTATGTTGGTTAGTTTAGGGCATCATGTTTCGTTTAGCATCTCTTATGCCTTGCATCCATTTGTATTGCATACATTGAGGCTCGGTTCATCATTCTAACTTGCATTATTAGTTAAACATTCTTTGAATACGTGTTTAAACTGCATGCTATTTGATTGATTCATATGTCATATTAGTAGTTGAGCCTAGTAATTGCATATCACATATGTTGCATTAGTCATATTACATTAATTAGGATCATGCATTTTTCTAACTCTTTTCTTTTGGTTTGCCTTGGAGTACTAGGTGAGCATTTTATTGTTTTAGCATATCGCATGCATGTGATTGTTGTCATGATTAACATGCTTGCCATGAGGCTAAATGCTTAAATGATAAATTGGCTGAATGCTTGTCGATGAAGGCTAATTGCTTGAATTGAAATAATTTGAGTAATGTTCATATGCGATCACTTTTTCAAGTGATACATATTTGAAACAATTTTAAAAAACAAACATGAATCAAGTGTTCCAATTCTTACAAAATAGTCTATATTTTGTGTGCGCATCACCTAGTAATGTTAGCCTAATAATCGGAACAATAGCATATAATGTAGATAAAATTCATATCATGATTAGTAGAGACCGATCTTTGATCAGGCGAGCAGGAGTACTTATTTCATGAGCTTCCCCTCTTGTACCCAAGTTCCCTAGCCAAGACAATCGGTGATGACGGACATGTGGACTTTGGCATGAATCATGGGTTTCCTAATTTTTTTTTAAAAATATTTAGGTGGCGACTCTGTATCTAGCAAAGCAGTCCATTTTTGGCAATTTGATTCAAAATCGATTTTCCAAAAGATTGGCTGAATTTGGATTCTTTAGTGTTTATCTATTTCGCATTGCACTTGTGGAATCAGATTCAGAACCACGGGAGTTCGATATTGTAGGGCTTATTCGTCTTCCGAAAGGGGGCACGAAAAGTCGAGCTACACATATATGCGAAAAACTAATAAGATAACAGTCTTTCATTAATTCTCTGGTAAACATAACAAAAGGTGCCACATGGATTATACATTCATAAACACTAAATTTTGAATTTATAGCATGTAACACAACGCAAAATAGAAATGAAAAGGAATATAGATAAGTTCATGTCTTAATGGCTACATATTTCCAAGACGATACTTGATTACAACAAAAGTGGGTCAAGCCCAAAACAAATAAAAAGCCCGAGACTTCTACAAAAAATATTTACAATACAAAAACGAATAAGCCTTTAGCTCCAAAATCCTCTCAAGCTAAGTCCTTGGCGGAGGTATATCATTAGCACCTAAAAGTTGGTTTTCACATAAGGTGAGCTAAAACCTACTAGAGAATACCCTAACACACTGTAGGAGGCTTAACATAGTCATTTGGTGAATGCAAATGCATGCCATTTATCAAAATGTT